TGAAACTACAAATCTAAATCATATTTATAGAGGTAAAAAAATATTATTTTTAAAATAACAGATTAAAATAATTCCTGATATTGAAATATTTATGAATTGTTGGAAAGGAAAAAATAAAAATACCTTCTTTGAACTATTTAATTAATTTTGCATTTCAGCTGGAAAACTGCTCATTACACCCCTAATATTGGTTCTGGGACTGGCACTGGGAGCCGTAGCTGTTGTAATAGGTAAGAGTTACATATATGAATTAATCTAATCTTGGTTATGCAGTGGCTTTTTCTATATGACATCTCAAAGAAATGGAGACAAAGTACAGATTCCACTGTTTTAGTATTAAAGATGAGTTTTTTCTAAAATATTTTTTTTTTTTAAATTTATGCTTACTAGCTTTATTTTTGTTCCCATTTATTTGGTTTTCCAAATAAACATCTTTAACTCCTGTAGATAAACTAGCAAAAGTCCAGAGTAAATGTAAATTTACTTATTTACTTAAATTAAATGTAATCCTGGGGGCTGACAGACTTGTACCCAGCCTTTAATCACCCCACAGTTTTATGATCTTGGCCATGTGTATGACAAGATTTTTAGGGAACTAAAGCCTAGTCCTAAGAGCTCACCAGCTTGTAGATGCAACAGCAACAAAGCAGCAAATTGGGATGAGTCAGTCTCAAAACATGATCCAGTGCGATGGCTGCCAAATTGTATTCCATCACAAAAACTGGTATTGTGAACTCACTTAATTACAGTATCAAAGCTCTGTTAGTGTGGTTGTATTAACATGGATGCAGATATTTTAGCAAAACTGTTGTTTGCCTGACTTAGCTGAGTTTTCCTGCAGAAACAGGACTTGCTGTGACGAGAAGAGGTATCAGTTTGCTCATGTGAGTGCATATCCACCCTTTATGTTGGCAGCAATGTCATTCAGGGGTCATGCTGCTTCACAGCTTCTCATCAAACTGCTTATTCCACTGAGAATTTGCAGTGAATGCCCAGCCCTGAGGTATACTGGGATGTGGCACTTTATTTCTGTATAATAAAGCCAAAATACACCAGGATAGTTATATTAATATGGTTGTAAGTAACCAGTCAACCTATAACCAAAATACTATTACAGCTTTTCTAGACTACATCTGGCCAAATAAGGAATATTGCTGTAATTTCTGTATTTAGACCAAACATCTTCACTGAAGAGGGTGAGCGATGTCTATCTTAAATATTCATTCTATTCAATAGCATTTTTATGCCAAAATTTTAAACAGTAGAGACTTCTTAATGCCAGTAAATCCTATTTTGGTCTGCAATCTGGTATAATCTGTGGTGGGGAAAAACACCCACATTTTTGATATACTAAAAATTTAGAGGGTTTTGCAGTGATGTCGTAACAATATTTGCAATAATAATCAGAATGCCATTGAAATTTCATCCTAGGCTTGGCTGAATAAGATACAATCAAGGCCAGCAGTGTGGGCAGTTCCAAAAACATTGATTATTTATAGAAAAGTTTTGGTTTTGAGGTAATTGGAGGAATATTTGCTGCCAACCACTATTAATCTCAGTTACATGACTGAAAACCATACTGCACCGTTTACAAGGCTATTGAGCAAAGCAAGAGCCTTGTGATTGTAGTAGTCTTTTGTTCTATGTTGTTACTGTAGTGGTATCAGAAAAGAAAATCTTTAGCCATTTCAGTCAGCTGGTGGAAAGAAAAAGGGGAAAATGATACTCATTTGGGTTTGGGAGAGTACAAACTATTTGACAAATTATTTTTCACCTGAATGATAGTGATGTATTTATTTATTTTTTGGTTTTACAGCTTTCTTAAATGACTTTTAAGAATAAATAATTCCCTATCCAGGCAAGGATAAACACTTGATATTAGTCAAGATAAGCATTTTTTATTACTTCACAGTAGACAAGGGCATTCATAAAAATAAATAAAAAATTAAACTAAAACGTGCTGTCTCTATTGCATGTGAATCTAATTGAAAACTACTTTAGTTACATCAGCTTTGAATTTAGATCTAAGAATTTCCAGAGTGCTTTTAAAAGTTTTATGTTTGTACCTCATACCAAACAGCGTGGTTCAGAAATTAATTTTTCAGAGATGAGTGTAGGGTTAGCAGGAATTTGTTGTAATGGAAGGAGTAAGGAAGGAGTAAGTGGCTTAACTCATTATCAAAGACACTGTTTGTTGAAGGCTGGTGTTTTTTCTGCTGGTCCAAATGCCTAATCTAAATTCTCCTGAGACATGTAAAGCTCCATCTGAATGCATATATCTAAAGAGCATAGCACATGCATGAAGGATTGCATTTAATTACGGTTTTTCTTTCATGTTTCCTTCTTTTGGCAGGTTTATTTGTGTTTCCTATCTATTGCCTTTGTAAAAAGCAGAGGAAAAGGTCACGGACAGGTATGCCCTGGTGAGGACGGACATTACTCGCCTGAACTGAGCTGGTCCTGCAAGGGCTATCCATGTTTTGTGCAACAGAGCAATACAGTGCTGGTTACAGCATCAAAGCCACCGCCCTGGAAGAAGAATGGGGGCTCTCCTGCCATCTTCCCTCAACTGAAAACACTACTGCAGACCAGAAAGCCTCTTTGCTCTGGTGCACTGTCAATAAGATGGGCCCCCTGACTGCTGCTTTTTAAATATTTTTGGTTTGGGTTTTTTTAGTTATTACTTTGGAAGGGTTTTTTTGAGTCTAAGTTTCTGAACCAGACAATCCAAGTCTGTATTGTAGCCACAACTCTACTACCGATCTGGCCTGTGAAGAAAGTGTTTAACTGCTAACGTGTGCTCGTTTAATTTCAGTGTCGGCCTTTAAGGGGGAAATGCTTAGAAGTATTCGGACTCTTACTGTGTACTGAGCATACTACTTTTGGTATTAAAAACTACTTCTGTAAATAACTTCCATCACACAGCATTCTGTTCAGCATACCAAAACCCCATCACATGCCAGAGCACGACAGCTGGTTATCTTCTGAGTCCTCCTGCTAGTGAAGTGCACATTGCCACCGCCAAACTGCAGTGCCTCAGAGGGAAATACACTTAGTACTGAAGCGCCGTGATACTTCAGAATACGGTGATTGGTGTCACTTCAGTAATTTATTCATGACAGTCTATTAATATTAAGGGTGGGGGTGTGACAAGATTTCTTACAACAGGACTTCATTTTTAAATTCCCACAGTACAGAAAAAATTTGAAGGGTTTAGATAGCAAGATGTGTCAGTGGCCTAATCTGTCCTAAGATATGCCTGAAGTGTGTTTGCAGAGAAGCTGGAAACCTGCTCTTTTATTCTAATTTGGAATATGATACACGTGCTACACACTACCTGGGTGAGGATTGACTTGATGACATTTTATAACCTAAATAGCACATTTTGTTTGTTCCCTTGAGTAGGCTACTACTACGTAAGTCTTGGAGTATCCACTGATGTCTCATGAGGAAAATCTGTGAATCCAGGGTAAGGGAAGCGATCATAAATTCTTAGAAGACCATTTCATTCTTACTTTCTGTTTCCAGTGTTTCTCTTCCTGGTGCATGACAGTTCTGAAGAGAATAGCTATCTTTGCTCTTCTTTTCTTAGGTTCCATTGTTTGCTACCAAACCTCTTTCTCAGTGCATCATGACAAAAGCAATGTAATTCAGCGTAAGGAATCAGTTGCTGAGAATTTTTACACTTCTAATTTTATTCCAAATTTATCATACAAATATGACTTAAAAGAAAAACCTAGAATAAATTTGTTTAGACAGAACACTGATAAAATAAAGAAAGGAACTGAATAAGAAAAATACCTACTTCATACTGTAAAATTAGAAGCTAATCTTAGAGGATTGGATTTGTACTGTGAAGATATTTCTTTTCAGTGTGTGTGTTTGAAGATACACACATATTTATATATATGTTTGTGTATATATGGTGAAAGGGGAAGAAGGAAGATGGGAAATGTCCTTGAGAGTCTACTGACTTCAAAATTTAGCTTTGCAAATAAGGTATCATTTAAGAGGATGTACTTTGTACCACTTTCTTTGAAAATTGTTGTGAAATCTGAATCCAGTTGTAATTTTTAAGCAAATAGTGTTCTGCCCCACCAACATAATACTGTTATAAGATACTTTGACTTCGAAGCCTCAGTGAAAGAAGCTGATGACTTTTGTTTACCTGGAAACACAAGTGTCATCTTACCATAGTTGGCTAGTATGCTTGTTTTCTGTCGGCTTCTGGTTTTGTTTTCTTGTGGTTTTTTCTTCAAGCACACCATACTAGTCAATAACTAATAATTTCCATTTGAATTTAAGGGCATGTTGACCCTCTTATCCTAACAGTAGGAATAGTACTTTTCAAAGATATGCAAATTAAGAAGGGAAACAATGACATTTAGAAATAAAATTCAGAGCCTATTGTCAATGCAAATTCACCTGCTATTTAGACTTACTTTCTTCTGAGACATATCAGTTTTCTATTTGTGTTCTGTCTGAAGTTAGAAGCTGCCTTAAAATTGGTCTTGGTTTTGAGTGTGTTTTCTGAGGCTATACATATCAGTTGTCTTTGGCTTACTCAGGGATTTTTATTCCTCTCTTTAAATGTCAAATAATGAAGATATTTTTGTATTATTTAGAATAACCTTCAGACCTCAGAGAGCAAGATATATATAGATAGATTTGGGTTTGCAATGCAGTCTATAACTTGGTGTCAAACTATTCCACTTGAGAATATTTTAGTACTTGAGATTATCTGTAATTAACTCACAGTGGATTAATTTCCTTTCTTTTCCTGGTTCTGTATAAATGTGTGAGATACTCTTATGGTCTTTGTAGCTGTTTTCACTCTGTCATGTTTGCCATTTTCAGTTTTTAACTAGAGTTCAGTAAGATCTGAAAGATATTAGAATAAAGAACATAAAAGGGAAGATAATAGATCTGCACTTACTTTTATTCAGAAAGTATGTCCTTGTGGATGGAGGAAAGGAACAGACTCAGTTCCTACATTATCATTTCATCTAGGCCATTTTGATTTTATCAGAACAGATTAAATCAGAGGGAAATGGTTCTTCATCTTCTGTACAGAGCAGAAAGAGACATCTTTGACCTTGTAAAGATGAGTAAGTCTGTGCTTTTTCTGTTGAGGTAAAAAAAAAGGAATTATAATAATTTTTGCTTTTCTATAGAGCAGGATAGATGTTCAAGAACCAGGCAGAATAAGGATATGGAAATATTTTTCCATCTGTATAAAAATATTCCCACATGAAAAGTACATAAATACAATTTTTATCGATATTATATAACACAACCTACACTAAAGCATGAGAATTAGCTCTGTACAAAGTTTCGTTTTGGTAAACATTAGCTTTTAAGCAACTCATCGCAACAAACCTTACATGCATCAAAGCCACATCATTTGTTTTAAAAGCATTAATTTATTCATTTCAAAAAAACTGAATGAACATTATAAGGAAATTATGTAAATGTATTACGTTTTTGTTACTACTCTAAAAAAACCTTTAGGCTGTTCTACTCCATCTTCATTAGCAGAAAACTTCATCAGGCAGCTATATTAACCTGCTAAGGCAGATTTCACACTACTGTATGCTGATCATCACTGGTCACTATGTTTGCTTTCATGACAATTAATATTAAGGATTATTTATCTTTGTGCAAAGCTGTTGCTCATCAGTACCTGTGTTCAGACTAGGAAATGCTTGAATCCATTCTACACCACCCTTCTGTTTCCAGCTTGCCTGGGGCTGCATTTGCCTGCACGCTCAGTCCTGCGTGCAGTCAGAGCTGGGGCTCTCCCCGTGGTGTCGCGGTGCGTGTGTCCCATCCCACTCCTGCTGGGAGGGCTGGCTGCACACGCCATCCCACGGGGGTGAAAGGGCCGCTTTCCCGTTCTCCGCTATGCGGAATTTACTTGTATTTCATTAATGGGCTCCAGTCCCAGGGCTGCTCAGCCATAGCAGCAGCAGGATCATTTTCTGTTCTGTGGCATCTCAGAGCATAGTAAGATATATGTATAGAGCTTATCCAGGAGCTTGTGACTGCAAAGTAATTGTGCTTTTCCTTATGTCAGTGTATTAGTCAGTGAGAGTTATAGGTAGAGCAGGTATACAAGCAAGAGGCAGAAAACCAATTCCAAGTGGCTTTGTGCTGAGCTTACCCATCAGGCTAAGTTCTGTACAGAAGTCAGTGAGTCTTCAGTTCTCACCACCTCTATAATAAACAGCATATTCCTACCTGTTCACTGTCATTAAAGTACAGTGCACTTTGAGTGATCTATTATCTTCCTTTGAGGCAGTACAAATGTGTAAGGGAAGATTTTGTGTTTGGTTTTGGTGCTCCTAATGCTGACTTTGTAACTCTTCCTGGTGTGTTAGGGGTTTTTGTAATTTACACCTATTTATTCATTATAAGAGTTTTACTTTATTCAAAATATTAATTTGTAGGGACTACTGCCAATTCTAACTAGAAAGCATTTTGGATCACCATCAGGTTTTTTTAGCCAAGAGGCTTTTTGCTCTTCCAAAGACTGTCACAGTTTGTGTGATGTTAAATGGTGTGTGGGTGGGGCAGTAATTCTCCCAGAGGATACAAATTCACCAGTGATGGAATGGTTTCTTCACACCAGTTAGATTTGAGAAACCGTTTAATATTCAATGGCCAAATAGTTTGCCATGCAGATTCTTGGTTGGTTTGTTAGATTTTTTTAAATTTAGCTGTGTTATTTTGTTTCTTGAGCAAACCTTTGATCATAATTTTTGGTATGCTAATTGTGCAGGTTCAAGTTGTGGATAAGAACCACAGATTGCTGTTACTGTTATAATCTATATTAGATCTCTGCAGATGGAAAGAATCCTACATGAGGAAACTATTAGATAGTTTCTTACTTTCTCTTAATTTTCAAGCCTTACAGTTGCAGTGAGTCAGCTTCATTCCTGTCATCAGTCACAGCCCCATTAAAAACCAGAGAAAACAATTTTTATGCCAGTGTAGAATTTGGTCACGAATACTTTCATAAAAACATCTGGAAGCATGTTGATAGCCATGGAAAACCTGGTTCACTTCTTAAGAAGTGCAAACTACTATGGAGCCACTTCTCTCATTTGCAGAATGATGCCAGTGTGTTTAGTAAGCGCAGGAGAGGGAAGGAGTTGGGAAGAATTTCCAAACAACATTCTCATTAGAGCAGATTGTCAGGAGAGGGGATACTAGCTTTTAGTATAATAAAAAAAACTCAATGCTTTGAGTCACTAATAAAATTAGAAACAACACCCAAAGACAGTGTGAGATAATATTTCTTCAAATTCTGCTTTTGTCAATGTAACAATAGCACACTGTAAGAAGTGGGATTGCAGCTGTTCAGTATTTTGAGGACTTAACACATAAACTTGAGGACACACAACGTCTAAAAAGTTATGTTGCTGATCTCTTTGGTAGTTTTTCTTGCTACTGTTACATGAAAAAACAGCTGAGCCTTGATTTGATTGAAAGACAGTGTTTTGACTGGTGTTACAGCTCGAGCAGTACTTAACACCCCAAAACATTTTTGTAAGAGAACTAACAAATGCAGTTGCTTGCAGACTGAAGCTTCCTCGCTGATCCTTCCTTACCTTTCTGTGCATAAGAGTTCAGGAACCATGTGTTCTGTGTGCAGTAAGGAACAGCTGCACATATTAGGCAGTTAATCACTAATGCTTCTCTTCTCTTGGCCTAATAGTGAAATGCCATAAGGTAAGGAAATGAAAACTGATCTTAGAGTGCATGCTCCGATTTTGAAGTTAAAATTGTGTAATAAGTTTTAATTACTCCATAGCAAAAAATAGATTCATACATTTTGAAACATAATTCCAGCTGTTTGTTTATAAATCTGTCTGTATAACACAATAGTTATAATAGTGTTGCATTTATTAAAATATGCATATTATGCAAAGGAAAACATTTTTTGGTGCTTATTTGGCTTATCAAAACATGAAAAATTAATCTGAAGTGTTTTGGATGGTTAAAAGTCGGAAGAGAAGCTTATTGTGTAAAAATATTTGTTTAGCATAAATGTGAGTTTTGCACATATCTTAAATACTGTTGCATGCCAACCCCATTCAGTGTTCACCTTGTTGAAAATTTGTCAGACATAAAACAGTATTTTTGAAATCTTTAACTTACTGTCACAGAGCATGATGTTACTAACACAATGCCACATTTACCTCATTTTAAGAAGGAAATATATTTACCGAATCTAGAGAAGATGTTCAGGTGTTTTAAACCTGTCCTGTAAAACTATGATGCCGTCAGAAAACATTTTCATGCCTTATGCAAGCTCTGGATGAGCAGATGGATTCACTCTTTATGTTTTTACATAAAAAAATGCACTCTTGAGAGTTCTTCATGTCAATTTGCATCCTGCTGCTTTGTGTCCAGAAATTGCAAGGACAGGGATAGATTTCCATTTCACTGTTTTGCCATCTCATAATGTTTACTATGTTTCCATTCTTATACACTTAGTTTGTATGCTCTCCTCCTACTTCTAAATTTTATAATTTGAAACTGACTTGTGTAAATGGGTGAAGATCAAATTGGACCTGTAAAATGTGATCTCATAAGAAGTTGCTTTGTTAATGCTTTGCTGAGCTATAAGCAAAAGATTTTTGTTGTATTTACATTACTAAAAGCAAGTTGCTGAAACCTATTTTTCTTCAGGGCTTTTAATTTTTCGTTTTTAAAAATGCACTTAAACAGCACAGTCATCTTTGTTACATAACTAACCATCTGAGTACAAAAATAACATTTTTGGGTATTTGCGAATTCTTGTCACTATGGTAGAGATATATAGTGCTGAAAAGAGAGAAAATTATCTCTGAGGAGTGTGTCCAAGCTGAATTTAATTCCATAACAATTCAGTGAGAAATCCTCCCTTGCCCTCATCTCTTTTTTGTGTATCTTAGGGTAAAGGGTTCCCTTTAAAATAGGTTTAATTTGAATGACAAGTGACAAGGCATGAGGGTAGTGAGATAATAGATCATAACCTTTTTAGTGTACAAGCTTCTGGCACAATTTGAATGCTGGCCAAACACTGTGGAATTATTAAGAAAGCAATTTCTAGTTCTGCATTTGGGCAACACACAAGCTAGATGCATCAATGATAGGAATGTTTTGTAGTATCTTTATGGGATGACTTAAGAACTTGTAAAAACTGGAGGGAGGCAACGCCCATTAAATCAACACTTGAATTCCAGTATTTAGTGTTTTGTATAATGAGGGATTTTAAATGTGTAAGTGCCTTATTGCGTGAAGCAAATGAAAGATGTTCATGCCCCTCAACAAAGCAATATGGGAAATCCTGTTCTGTGGACTCATACAGTTATATTAAGCCAAAGTAGTGAGTACTGGTTTGCTCAGAAAGTTGAGAAATGTTATATTAGGGAAGAAGTTAGCCTATCATAAAAGTAATCTGGCAAGCTTATTTTTATTATGATGATGTAATTTCTGTGGTTTTTTTTAACTTACTCTTTGCCCCCATCCCCTCCCTGACTCCCATCTTCCTTTAGATTTCTGCACAAATGCATCTTAAGTTGTTAAAGTTCAGCTCCTCCAACATAAGAAGCCATGAGTTTTCAACCAGTGAAGGAAATGCAGCCTTTTGCAGAAGATAATTCAGCCAAAGTTCAGTTAGAGCACAGCCTCTTGTGGCTGTACCTGCCAGCTCGGGGGCTCACTCGTGCCTTGTTCTCACTAATTGTTGGAGGTGGAAGCACCAAGGAGTGTGGCATGTGGAGGTGCACTCTAACTAGGCTGGAACTTAAAACAGGTTGAGAGCATTTCATTGTTGTCCAACTAAAACTAACATATCCTGTTAATAAAAGTTGGTAACTCCTCTGAGGTGGGTACCAGTGGGGATGGAACCATCACTTGAGATGGTGGTGCAGCTCTGGGATCTCTGCCCAGCCCTTCGCTGCAGGGTGGGAGGTGTGATCTGGAGAAGTATTACTTATTTTGCCATCTTCTGATAGCTTCAAAATGGGTGTTGAGGGGTTTATGTCTTCTTCCTTCCTTTTCCAAAGACAGTGGAATTTTACCCTTTATGTCTTACTAAAACTTACTTAAAACAGACTTACTAAAAGACCTGTTGGTTCTTACTAGCATTGGTGCCACTATTGTCCATCTATTATTGAAGTCAGGAATAAGCTACTTTTCTAAAATGACCTTGAATTTCATGAGCTTATGGTAGCAATTATCTGTCAAAAAAAAATTAATTATAAAAGGTAATTGTCAGAAGGAAATTGAATTGATGGGGGGTAAGAAGAAAAATGATGCTTAGAAAGTCTATTTTTTATAGATTCGTTGTCATAAGATAGTTCTAATCGGTTCAATTTCTTCCACTGAGAATTTATAAAGGAAAGGAGAAGATGAGTGTCCCTTTGAACCTTTTATTTTCCTGAAATTCTTGAGTTTTTCAGAACTGTAGGAAGGGCTTTTTTCCCACCCTGGAGTTACTAATTGGTAATATAGCTGTCACAGTGTTATTTTGAACAGTACTGTGACTGTTTAGTCAGGATTCAGCTTACATATCTGAAGGTTTTGCTGATAGGGAATTTGCTTTAAAGCCATACTGCAAAACAATTGTAACTGAATTATCACATATCTTAATTACTTCTTTTTCAGCATTATCTCAAAATTTTAGGCATTAAAAATTTGATCCATCTATAATGCATTAAATAGAAGATGCCATGTATCAAAATACTCCTTCAACTTTGAGTTACTGTTTATTTTTTACTAGTTATTTCCTTAAATTAATTGTTTCTCTCCTAGAACCAGCAGACACAACCAAAATGATGATAAGATTTCCCCATTATCTTTGCCTTGCATTTAGCTGATGCTATATTTTCTGTTGCATAGTATTGCAACAATGGTCTTCATGCTGTAATAACTTGATGAAAATATTCAGTAGTCTTGGGCAATATTTTACAAATAATTCATCTTCAAGTTGGTATTTTAAATGTATACTAATAATCACTGTTGAGTGCTACCTATGTGGCTGCTTTAGTTCTTGTCAATGTTTTGTAGGGATTATTTCTTGCTACCTTCTTCAGAGTGCCTTTTCATTTAGGAGGTCTAGAAGATGGTTCATTAAAGTCTTCTGTTGAATTTACCATAGTATTGTCTGATCTTCAAACTTGTCCTGATGAATGTATAACTAAAATCTTGTTCTTTAAAAAGCTATAGTAGACACAGTTGTATATGCACATGCATGGATACAAGGGAAGGTGTTCTGCCAATGTTTGTCCTGCTGGACAGGACCTTTCGAAAGTAAGTGAATTTTTTAACAGTTTTATTTTCAAAATGTTACCTCACTAGTATTCAGTAGTAGATATGTCTCTGTATTGCTTCACTTTGCTAAATACAATCACGGCAGTTTAATTTTTAAAAGACTCTGCGATGAATCTGGTGTTCGTATGAGACTGAATTTCGTAAGACAAAACTTACGGTACTTTGTTTCCTTTAAAGGCATTCCTTTCACTTACACTGACATCCCAAGCCCCTGTTAGCAACAGACTGAAAATGTGCTTCCCCATGATGAAATGGAAGAATGTACAGTTGCATTTGAGTGCACTCCACCCATCTTAGAATCGATATTCAGAAATGGGGGCGGGGGACAGTGGATTTGATTAATTGTGGGGAGACATACATTGTAGAATTTGTTCACTTGCACACAAGGGGTTTTACAATGTCATCTAGTAATGTCTGCCTAATAAAGTTTTGAAAAAGAAAAATTAAATTGCCTGAATGTTTAACTCTTTCTTTAAGCAATTCTGTGTGTGAAAGATAGCTGGAAATCTCCAAGGAGTCTTGCTTAAATTTGTAGTACTTTTTATGATATTTATATAATCTTTAAAAAAAAAAATCACACCAAATAATTTAAACTTAAGAATCTTTTGTGTTCTCAAACCCTGTATTAGACTCACTTTACTCTTTAGCTACTTTAACACTGAAATGAAAGTAGAGATAAAAAGCCAGTTTACTCTGGTGAATATTTTAATGTAAAATACTCCCTGTTGTATAATCATCTCTGGCTACTGCTTTCACTTTTAAAAGCATCTTAATATGCAACACAGAATTTTACCTTCTCATGAAATGTTAAAATGTTAGCTTAAAATCACTAAACACAAAAATGAGGAGAAAATTGCTGGAATCAAATTTTCCCATTCCCTTTCTATAACTACTTCCTAAAGCTTTATCACTTTAAAAGGGTTTCAGAGAAAGCAGTCTGTAGCTGTAAACTTGAAATAGGTAGCTCATTAATTGAAGCAGGTGCCTCTTTTCTCTGGAAAGGAGTTGTGTTTCCTTACTAGGTGAGCTGTCAGTATTGATGAAATGTGTTTCCTGCTGTGTTGGGGATTTTTAAAAATTATATCTAATTATGAAGTTGCACTTGTACATTTGTAAACAGGCACACAAGGTATCCCCATTACTTACACTTGGTTTCTGTAGGAAATAAAGCTGAAAAACAATTCCCTGCTGAGAAATATGCAGCAAAAATTTTGATGTCTATGCTTGGTCCCTCTGGTGGAGGATAAACCTTTCAGCCCTCTCCCCAGCCTCCTCCAAAACAGTCAAGATTTGCAGCAAAGTGTCAAGGACATCATACCAGAGGTTCCTTATCTGTAGGAATTCTAGCGTGCAGTGTGCAATGGAAGGATAGGCCCAAAGCCAAAGAAATCGATAGCCCTAGAGCTGAAACTGAAGTTAAAGGCTAACTTTTCACTTGCCATCTCAAACTGTTTCACAGAAGACAAACTTTGATTATAAGCATGGTATTTCCCCATGTAAATAGGACTAATGTGCTCCACAGATATTACTGATACAGAATTGTAATCTTTAGATTTTCTCATTCAGCTGATTGATGTGTTTTGGGGGGTTTTCATGATTTGATAAGTAGTTTGGCTGGAGCAGTGAAATGAATCACTGTGGGGAATTAGAATTGGCAACCATGTAAAACTTGTTATGCTTCTAAAAGGTCAGTAAAGCTTTTATGAAGGAGTCTTGTCTTATCAACCACAAAGTTTACTGGCAGGTCAGCAAGTTCTGTAATTTCTTGCAATAGCCTCAAATTAAGCCTAGACATGGGCTAAGAAGGAGAATCTTGCATGGACAAGGTGGGCATGGTATGGTTAGAACATGCAAACTGATTGAAGTAAATAGCTTTTGCTGTGAAGGGAGGATGCTACTTGAATTCTGCAGAGATCTGTGTTTGGCTTTGCTCTTGAACATATTGGCAAATTATGTAAAGAAAAAGGTAAGCAATGGGGTAATAAACAATCTTGAGTTACCCAGGAGTATAGAGATGAGAGACAGTTGTAGTAATCAAATGAATGGGCTTTGGACAACAGCACAATAGAGGTAGGCTCTTTGCATGGAATGATATGACTGATGGATATTGGTTATCCTGTTTGCACCAAAGGTTTCAGAATGATACAGGGAAGACAAAATAGTGATCAGATGGAAACTGTAACAAAAAAAAGATTAATCTTGGTGAAACAATGAAAGACTAGTGAAGTCTCCTGCCAAAGGATGTTGTACATGCTGAGAGCTGACATGAAAACTGGAGCAATTACAGGAGAGAAAGTGGCGGCAAGTCACTTAATGTATAGAGTACTCTCTTAGGCTCAGAAATTCTTTTGAGTCAAAAATGTTTGGAAGCCTGAATAGTAGTAGAAGGTAGTATTTGTTTGCAGTGTTTTGCATTCTGGTTTGATTTTCAGTCAGAGAGACAGTTGGGCTCCCTGAAGTATTGCTCTGTCTCAGTATTTTAGGGCATTTTCTTTTAATTGAAATTCCCTAGGTAGGGATAATGTCGTAGTGGATCCCAGCGGTGATCCAATGAGAATGGGAAGGACACAGCCTCTTCCATCCTACTTGACCATAGAAAATACTCTACCATGGATGATATGCTGATAGGTAAGATTGGGGTTTGGAAAGTTGTGAAGTGGTGCAAATGTGTCCTCTTTGTGTACTGTTCTCACCATCAGCTAATTTTGTCCACCTGTTCTGAGGCAAATAAGTCTCAACCTAATTTCTCCCTAGCTTGTCCTCTTACTCTGGGATGTTTTCCCATTCATCTCATCCTTTCCCAGGATGTTTTCCTCTTTCTTCCTTAATACTTCCCTTACTGGAATACTGAAATAAACTGAAGCTGGGATTTTCTTTTGTGGTCCTCTAAGAGTGTTGTATGCATCCAAATCCATGTTCTCTGCTGGCCTAGACCTTGCCTCCTTGACCGATTTGGACATAAATAAATAGTACTACTTCTCTAGAAATATTTCTTCCTAAAAGAAATCCCATTTTAGGTGTCCCTTGCCCACTTTCATCTGCCTTGTATTTCATCAATTTTGTTTTGTAAATTGTGTTTTCTTTTTTGTCCTCTTTTATGCTAAAGAGCTGTGGGACAGTCTCTCAAAACTCCAAAAAGGTAAAAGTGCACCAAATACAATGCCAGAAAAGCAGCACTGTGTGATTAAATGGGACTCTGTAGAGATTACCCTGACTGATACTTGTACACTCATTTTGATTTTTGTGATTTTTTTGTTTAATGTGTGCATAATGCGTCTAAAAAGTTACCTGTGAGCCTGTTTTGAGGTGTTTGGTTTTAGTGGTTGGTTGGTTGGTTGGTTTTTTTTTTCTTGAGTTTTTTTTTGTGGGATGAGGGGACCATGAGGCTGGGGTGCGTTTTTTTTCAGTGTTTGTTAAGGAATCTATATGCACTTACCGGCTGATGAGGGATGGTCCTCCCCTGAGGCTGAAGCCTGCTGAGAGAGGATTTTGATGATCCCCATGATGCACGGCTTCCCAACTCACACTCCCAACAGCAGAGTCTGATGGATAAAGCAACATTCCAGTGCCTGGGCCTGGCACCCAGGGCATCGCTGCCTTCATCCACTGGGACAGGAGCATGGCTGGTTCTTGTCCCTTGCCATCCAGCCCCTTCCTGCCTAAGAACTGCTTTTTAGATTCTCTTAACTCATACCTTGTCAAATAACAGTAATGGCAGGCTCCAGTCATTGGGACATCACTCCAGAATACTTCACGGGGTGAAAAATGATGTCTGGGAGGAGTGGTGGGAAGGACAGATGTCCGCGGGGGCAGTGTGGTGTGGCACCCGTCTCCCTCTGCCCCAGCCTGCTCCAGGCATTGTGGCAGTGCTGTGCCAGGGGCAGGACAGTGACAAACTCACCCGAAGGTCCAGCAGCAGCAGCAGCAGCCCACCTCACTGAGACTTCTCCTTATATAGACCAGCGGGCACGTGCAGCCAATCCCCATTGGTCGAGCCAGTCTCCGCCCAGCCAGCCAGCCAATAGCAGCCCGATCCCCGCGGCGTGGGCCTGCTCTCCAACGGGCCTCACCAGCACCCTTACATACATGAGGTAATTACATAATCAGTCACGTCCCAGTCATAAAGTTGGGGTTATTTATAACTGTGAGAAGAGTTATTTATAACTGTGAGGCCTCCAGGCCAGCTGTAGGCCACCACAGGGCATCTCTCCACAGCTCTCCCCTCTTCCTGATTTTAACTTTATTTTCAAGCAATGTCTATTTTAACCTTTAGTTTGACCATATGTTTATTACTTATTAAAAAATACTTTCAAATGCATGGCTTCATTTTAATTTCATTTGACTTTTATGAGGTGGTGGACAAGTCAGAGCTAATAATAAATGGCTTAGTGACAAACCTTTGCCAAATCAAACAAACTTTAATTCAACAGCTTTCCAATAATGCCTTTAGTGTTTCAGACCTTCTGTGTCTGCTGTTGCCTTTTCCTCAAATTCCTTTATAACAAGTGCTCTATGTCACCACTCCCCAATTGATGCTATTTTTAATAAACAGATTACTTAGATTTCAGGCAATATTAGGCCTCTATTTTGGTATCATTTACTTATGTATTGAAATCTCGAGTTAGCTCTTTTATAGCTTTGAACCTTAGAGGTTATTGTAGTGATGAAAAAGGAGACAAGATAGACAAAGCCTGACTTTTCCTCTCTTACAAAGAAGCATTCAAGTACTAAACGTGGCTGTCAGAATTGTACTTCATAAAAATCAACCTTTGTGGTGACCCCTTGTCAGCCCAATGGTGGATAAGTGGAGCAGCTGTCTCTGCTGGATCTGTTTATTTACCTGACAGCCTGTCAGATGAGGAGTTCTCAGGAAAAAAGTGGCTGAATGTGAGCTGTGGTCATCACTTGGGTGGCAGCCAGTCCTGAGCTGCTATTTTCTCCAGCTGTTTGAGGGGTAAGTGTGGGGTGTGTGCATGGGAACTTCAGCAGGTCCCAGCACCCTGGATTTGGTGTGTAGGGTGCTGGCTCCCGCTGGCAATAGATCCAGCCAAGTCATAACAGAGCCCTGCACATCCCATTCTTGCCACTTGAGGATGTTATGGGACCCAGTCCTGTCAATGTGCATAAGTATAATTTTTTTAGCTATCATCTCTTCATAGGCCTATCAAGATATAAAAAAAGTGCATCCTTCAGCATAGTTTCTCTGCCTACTATAAATTCAGGCAACAAATATTTCCTAAGTTAAGACACAGAATTTAGAAAAATATTTACATAATTCAGCTTATTATATGTATGCACGATCATATTACTGTGGTATGAAAGCTTTTGCTCTTTTACTTTCTTTTTAAGTATGTATGTAATATGTAACAATTTATGTTATAATGTAATAATATATAAAATTATATATTTAACCATTTGAAATTCAACAGTGGCAAATGCACGGTTCTGAACCTGGGGAGGAATAACCCCAGACTCCAGTGTAGGCTGGGGGCTGACCTGATGGGAAAGCAGTTCTGTGAAGAAGGACCTGGATGTCCTGGTGAACAAACTGTCCATGAGCCAGCACTGATCCCACGTGGCCACTGCTATCCTGGGTGCATTAAGCAGAGCATTCCCAGCAGGTTGAGGGAGGTGATTTTCCCCTTCTACTCAGACCTGGTGAGGTCATGTCTGGAGTGCTGTGTGCAGTTCTGGCCTCCTCAGCACAAGAGAGACATGGAGCTCCAGCAGAGGGCTACAAAGGTGATTAAAGGACTGGAGCATCTCTGTTACAAGGACAGGCTGAGAGAGCTGGGCCTGTTCAGCCTTGAGAAGAGACAGCTGAGAGGGGCCTCATCAACATGTCAGTATCTGAAGGGAGTGTGCCAAGAAAATGGAACCAAGTGTGGTAGTGCTGAGCGATGGGACAAGAGGTAATGGGCAAAAACAGATTTGTAGCAACTTCTACTTGAATATGAGGAAGAATTTCTTCAATGTGCAGGCGGTCATACATTGGAACAAGTTGCCCAGAGAGGTTGTGGAGTCTCAAACTGGAGATATTCAAGAACCATCAGGACAATCCTGTGCCATGTGGTCTAGGATGACCCTGCTTTAGCAGAGAGGTTGGACCAGATGATCCATTGTGGTCCCTTCCAATCTCACTCATTCTGTTATTTCATGATATCTTCTTCTCTATAAGTAGATAATAACAGCAAACAAATAGCATTATTCATTCCTTGCTGGTTTGTCATGCTGCATAACAAAAGAACTGCAGTGAAATAATTTAACTGCCTGTTTTATTGTTCATGTACACCTCTAGGGCTTTTTATTATTACTCTTTTGCTAATTTGCTTATCTCAATGGCATTCTTTGGCACTGAATTATCTGCATTCCAATGTGCAAATGTATTTCTTTGCTTTAGTAATTGCCTTTTTATATAATGATTGTCTACCTCCTTGAAGATAAGAACAAGGTCCTGGAAGAATTTGTGTATATTAAAAAGTGAAACGAGAACTGAAAAAAGGTTTTTCAGTTATAAAGATGATAGCAAAATAGGATTACCAGATAAAGAAAAACTGCTGACATAAAGGCACATCTGATGAGAAATTTACATTCTTTAGGTTAGAGACTGACCACATTAGACTGATATACCCAAAAACTTTAATGCAACTCAGTGATTAAAAGCAGAGTCCTGTCATTGTTTCTGCTGTCTACTGAGTTGTTAGGCATATGATATTCAAAATTTGCTGTTCCATGAATGGAAAAACCAGAAGTCTGTTTCCTTGTGAATTTGTTTTCTGTGCCCCTCCATTATAATGTGTCTTCACCTGGTGCAGCCTATATGAACTTACCTCTCCCTGTTACATATCTCTGCTTCTGCCTGGTGTTCCCTAAATTCTCACAAAGTGCCTTCTCCCCATCTCTATCTAAGCAAGAATTATCACACCTTTTTCTGAAGCATGTAGATGCCAGTTGATAATCTAGAACAGTGATGGTTGACAGACCAATTTTCAGGAGCTGTCAGGCAGGCTGGCTGCCCACCAGGAAGTGGTGACTGGGTGCTTCACTATTTCTCCCTACTGAAGCACTCCTATTTCAGTTGCCTTTGTCCAGGTACTGATTTTCAAAAAATCTGAGTGTGCTTACTCTAGGCCACCACACAATGTAGTGTTCTAAGCCTCATTTCTTTAGAATCCCAGGATAAACTGGAGATTTTCATATCTGCACGTGTAAGGTTTTCCCTTTAATTTCAATGTGAGGTTTCATTTTTTGAACATTAATATGAAGGCACAGCAACAGTAATTAGATCATGGAAAGTGAGCCAGCTGTAAGTTGGATTATGCTACTTGCAGCAGGTATGAAAAAATATAAAGATGAGAAGAGGGACATGGACACAGAACATTTGGAGCTAGGAATAGAACTTTAAAAGTACTATTAGTTTTTTTAAAAGTTTTTAACTTTATTTTGGTTTAAAATAATTTTTTAAAACTGTTTTTTTAAAAAGTACTGATAGTTTTGACCAGGTATTTCCTGGCTGTGGAGACTATTGGTTTCTTTGAGTCTTGAGTCTGAATATACAATGAAACTCCTGTAAAAATTTCCTGTAACTAGAATCTTCTAATACCCTTCTCATGCTGTGTATGCCACCAGCCAAACAATTGCTAGGGAAAGATATCAAAAGCTGCTAATAAAAATGAATAATACTGGTTTTCATTTTCTATTCAATAAAATAAATTTTCATTATATTTTAAAAAAATGTGAAATTTATATAACAAGTGAAAAATTACTTAGCAAACTTAACTTTAAATCGTCACAGTTGTGCAGAATAAAAAAGCTGTGGATCTACTTTTTTGTTGTAAATAGATGCTGATTAGATTTGTTCTGTTAATGGTCTAGCCTAAAATATTTAAAAGTTGTGACATTTTGGGTATTTTTGATAGTAAAAAAACTGTTTTAAAAGGATGTCCAATTCTGCATCAAGAACTTGTTAAAATAGTGTCAAGTTAATGCACGTCTGCCAAGCTTAACTGTGCCTTTTTATCATTCAGTTTATCATTTCATTTAGGCCATGCAGTTCACCAAAGTCTTTCTCCTTATCTAGATAGATGTTAAAACAAATAAGGTAAGAGTTCACTTTCAAAGTCTTTTTTTCTGTATATAGGTACTGTATATAGGTATTATTCTATATATTCCATGTAAATATATTATTATTATATATTCCGTATATTGTTTGACATAAACTAAATGTGGGAAAAGCTTTCTTATTCAGTCTGGTTATATTGGCAAATATATGAAGCGTTAGGATACAAAACACTTCATTTTGCTAAATCTCTCATACTCATACCTGCTTATTTTATTGACAGCCCACCATGCCAGAAAAGGAACTTGATCAACTGGGTTAAGAGATGTGGCATTGCATTTATTGTGTGTTAGTGGTTTACATCACATTTAAGTAATATTGTAAGACATGCTTTTCTGTGACCAGGCATTTAAGGAATTTGTGCAGGAGTTAACAAAAGTTTAAAATTACCTTGGAGAAGGACAGCACATCAAGCACATTCATTACTATAAATCAAATCAAGGCATTTTTATGAGACGTGTTTCATGTAATGAAAAGAAAAAAATGCAGTGATTTCACTGAAGAATATTGTGCTCTTTTCTCATGAAGAGAAAACTATATTGGACTACACATAGTGACAAGAGTGCTGTTCAGAAAGGTGCTGAAATGGGGTAGGGTCACTGTATGGCCGACCTCAGAGGATTTGATGGATGCAAGGTATTTTTGAAAAGATGCCATGTACTTGGGAGCCTAGCATCAGCCTTATGTGTTTGAAGAATGCTGCCCAAACTCCTGTATTAAAGGGCAAGGAACTGCTTGAAAGTGGGTGCTAGAAGCATCTTTCAAATCTTTGAAAGATTTTTGCAAAATAAAAACATTTTCAAAATAGAGTTTAACCTGGATGCATACTCTCCATTTTATTGTGCATGAGTTCAAAAGTAGTTGAATTTAGCATTACCTCCCTTGGAATGTAAATGAGCTAAATAAACTAGGAATGAACAAATGTAAGAGTCAAGGCCAGCTGAAAATGTCCCAGCATTTTTAAAAGGTGAGAAAGCAAATCACATAGCACTCCATTATTTATTCTAAAAAAATTGTCGTGGTAGAGAGTTTTTTTTTAGTTTTATATGTTCAGATGTTATGTCTAAAATTATACACAATCTTTGTGTGTCATGCTTTATCACTCTAACTAGTTTGAACTAATTTATTTGAAACACTGCTGTAGGTATTACAGAGGCTGAGACAAATGTTACATACAGTTCAATGTTTTAGCATGTGTGGAGATACTGCTTTCAGCAAGGTGACAGCATTTTGATGTTGAATTGTGGAATGCTATCAGACACCAAACATGCAAATTTCTATCTGAATGCCTTTTTAATAACTTTTATGTCATTTTAAAAAATTATTACTAGATTGACCTGAAAGACAATAAGGCAGATGGCTGACTTCTTGCATGGAAACATTCAGCTAATGAGGTGAATGGAACTTTCACCATAAAACACTAAATATTTTCTTCTAGGCACTATGATCTCAAGCTGACCACTTCTATTTGGAACTAAAACAAAAGGAGTGTGGTTTTCAGCAGAAAAGTATTCAGCAGGAAAAAAAAAAGAGTGTTTTAATTGCCAGACTGAGATTGTAGATGATACTTTTTTCAGTCTCACAAATGCATTTTTTCATTATCTCTCCTTCTCACACTTAAAATTTGACAGACCACTTTCATTTTAGTAAACTGATCTCTCCACTGATCATAAATATCCTGTTTTGCTACCAGAGGGCAACATATTTGCTTCCAATTCTTGGTCTCTCATGTGTCATTTTTATAACAGTCCCTTTCTATCTTTCAGCTGAAAATGTCGAATATTTCACACCAGACTGTGAACATTAGGACAGCACAGAGAGAACAGTGTGGGAACAGCCACCCTGAGGCAGATTTCTGATCCCCCAAACACTGTAGTGTTCTCCTAGTAGCTCACAATAGTGTTCCTGAATCAGTATCTGGTCCTTGGGAGCTTGTGACAGCAGCTGTGGAGGATCAGACAAAGTCTGGTAACACACAACTTGAGTAGTGTCAGAGCTTGTTAAGCACTCTTGGAGACTCTGCAGGATCTGCTGGGGAAGAAGTGGTATTTTTGTGTTTTGTTGGTCTTACAGGTATTTTAAAATTAAATTTCCCAATAACTTTTGAACAAATGCAAATTTTCATTAATCACAATATACCACAGCAAGGGAGGTGCAAATTTACCGCCCATTACCTGAATCAATATTTTTTTAAAATTTGGAATTACCACTAGAATGCAATATGCACTGTGTAGGAAGAGACAGTGAACTGCCAGCCCCTGCCTACTGCCTCCATGTTGTGAGACTGGTGTGCCCCTGTTCTATATAACATTATGTAAAATTCCCCCTGTTCTCCCTCACCCAACATCTCTTTTCCAAGCCAAAAAAACCTTAGCCTCTGAGCTGCTCACAGCAGAAATTCTTCCAATACTTTGAATGTTCTCTGGTTAATATTGCTGTTCTCTGGTCCTTTTCCAGTTCTGCTTTTTTTTGAGATAGGTGGTACAGTACAGAACATAGATGAAACAGACACAAGATCCTGAATATCTGGGAAAATATGCTCTTTTATAAGAGCTTTCTCTTTTTCATGCATGATTGGTTTTTTTGACTGTTAGTGAGTAAGGAAGTGAAAGTTCTTTGAAAATCCCAGTCAAACACTGAGGTCTCATTCCTGAGTCCTAGTTAGTCTGTACTGAATTGAGATCTGGGTAGGTTGCCAAACAGGGTGAAGAGACTCTTGAATATCTAGATTGTTTCAAATTCTTCCTGATTAACTTTATTGTTCCTTCTGGAAAATAAATTTAGTTCTGATGCAATTTTCTTTTTTTTTTTTTTTTTTTTTTTTTTTTTTTTTAGATTTTTTGTTACTCCATGTTTCCTCAAACACAGACTTTTGTTTCACTTTATAAGCCTATATATATACATGTCCTGTCTCCTCAAAACAATAATCTGAGGAATAGCTCCAATTATAGCAATTACTCTTTCTATTTTAGTCTACCATCTCCAGCAGTGAAGAGCCCTCTTAATTATTGCTTCCAAAAGAGTCGCAAGAAACTATGCACCAAGCAGAAGCTAAACATTCTGGTACAAGAAAAGAATCTTCCCTCTAAATACCAATAAGTCAGCTGCTGATATATGCCCAGCTGGAAATGGCTTGGGTCCTTCCCAGGCCTTTGCACAGCTCTGGTATTCTCTCTTCAATCAGTTTTCTCTTTAAACCCCACTTGTTAAATGATTCAAAATGTTCCACTTTCGCTCATCCACTGACTTCTTATGCACCTTGAGAACTAAAGGGAAGATTTTTTCCACAAGGAAAATTTCTTGCTTGTAATTTTCTCCACCCACACTAGTCAATTAACTCTTCAGAAAAAAATTCAGCCTGCTTATTGACATTGTGGACATATATGTATAGCCAAACTTTTAGATTGAGTGATTTGTTTCACTTGGATGGTTATTTAATACAGTAAAATAATCAAATAGTGTATTTCATATATGCAAATTATTTTTCTCTCTAGCATTTATATATATATATATACATACAAACACATTCATTATTACAAATTGCAGTGTTAGCTATATTAAAGTATATGTTGCTACATACATTTTATATATGTATGTGTATAACTTGAATCCTGTTAAGTGCTAGCAATATTTAATCATGTTCATCTAATTGCAGTAGGCTCATACATTAATTCTCACACACATTTAATCAGCAGCACTGGCAACAATGCTGTATTGAAGTGTATGTGCAACTGTGGTGAGGCAATATTTATTAATAAATCCTTCCCACCACAGGTGACCTAAGGTTAGGACATACATGTTTATTAGCTGGGAATGCAAGTTTACATGTCAGGGCGTGTCTGAAGTGCTAGGCTGGAACCAGGAGCCCATCCCAGCTAAACAGGTGGGTGCTAAAAGTGAGAATTGGGTAGACAAGTGGTAACAGTTGAGGTCTTGCCACAGAACAGACAGAAATGTTCTTTCAATAGAATGGTGCAAATTGAACTTTTAATTACTATGTGCTCTTTTCAGCACAACAGATGAAAAACTGGAACTGAGCAGCTGGAAGCATGAACTGTTTTCCAGGAAAAACCTGCCTTGAAAAGTGCTTTGTGAGCATGTTGGAGTTGAGGAGGCAGCTGTGTGATTTCACAATGTGATTCTAATTGTGCTTTAACAGGTTTGTGTATTCAAGTACTTGGGTTGGAGCACTGGCTGAGGACAGGTGCTGTTTAATATGATTCAATTAGGCTTTTGTGAATCAATTTAAAAATACAAAAGTGGGAGATAGAAGCCATGCATAATAGTAATGAAACTATTATGCAAACACCTTTTGCAAATACTCTACAAATGGTAAAAGTTATTGTAATTTTTGAACATAGTTTCTGGCACTGACATCTCACTCTGATCAGAAGCTAACCAGGACATAAGAAATTAAGCAGAAGGGAAGATGATTGCAGAGATATGACTGAGACACTTTCACCATAGCAGAGATTTCAGAAAGCGTGGCTAAATCCCTTTGCCCAACTGCAGTAAGTCACAAGGCATCTTTCACAGGACTGGTAGTTAATTGCCCAAGTGCACGGAATGGTGCCCACTCAACACCTTGGCTTGCACCTTGGTGTAACTCCCTTGCAGCTAAACGGCTTCCTAGCATCTTCAACACATCCTTGAGATAGGTGCCTTCTGCACTTTCCCTCCTTACACTTTTTCATTCTGCATTTATCACAACTTTCAATTTCCCTTTGCAAATCTACCTTGATGCACAATTTTCTTCCTCTTTCATATTCTCAGAAGGTACCCTCAGCATACAGCCCCCATAAGCATACAGGCCATCCCTGTGCGCTGTAAAGGAGACCTGCACAGAATGCTTGCTGTAACTTCATAATTAACTTCATTTCCCTTAGGGAAATTAGTATTCAAGAGGAGTTTGTAAATGTACAGCATGTTATTCATGTCCATCCTGGAGCAGAGCAAGGCAGTGGAGATCTTTGTGCCCTAAAAAATGCTATGTGCAAAAGGTTAGAAGTAGAAGAACCTGAGCAGTCTTCTTCCTGCAACTTCTCCAACACCAGCCACACCACACCAAAATGTCAGCTTGCCTGTAAATTCTGCCTGCAGCCTCCTTAGCACAAGTATATACAAGTGCCTTCTCTCACCCCACTGTCTTTCACTACACCCAAGTCCTAACAAACAAGCGCAGATCTCCACCCATATGCTTTCCAATTATTGTTCCTTTTCTGATGCTGAATTGCTGCTAAACGTTGTAGCTCACTATCCTAAATATCAGATCAATCCTACCTAGATTCTCTGTGCTAACCAAAGCTAAGAGCCCCCCTGAACAATCTTGTACTTGCTCTTGCCAAATTCTGCTCATGGTGACGCTAAGCCAAGGGCTATGAGTCAGTCACATTTCACTGCTTAGTCAACCTGCTCAGCTAACTTTACCCTGGACTCAAATATAAATGAGTGTTGCAAATGGTGAGGACATGATGCTGATTTGTGAAAGGAGGTGACTGGAGTAGACACACTGTTAAGGATGTGTGTGGGAAAAGGGAGCATGCCTAGAGATCTGCTGCATGCCTAGTTGTCCTCACCTAGGGGATGTAAACACCAAGTAGCTCAACATCACAGAGAAGGAGGCCAGAGGAATCACTGGCAGGATGTGCTGATATTTAAGATATACACACACACAAGATATACATGGGATATACACATTTAAAAACAATTTTCAGTGCTGAAGTTACAGTAAGTGAATGATAATGTCTAATCTTCAAATAGCCCTGATATCAAATGATAAATATATGTTTCCATGAACAGTAAATACAATTCAAGCTTCAACTTAAACTGTTTTTCAAAAGATGACCTCGTTTAAAGGTGTTTTTAGCTTTGATTGTGTAAAACATTTAGCACCATCAAGTGGTAAAACAGTGCACTGCTCCGTCATAGCAGTCTCTAATAAAAAGGGAACAATGATATATATAATTGTGTATTAGAAAGAAGCCTAAAGAAACTTTTGAATATATTTTATCAAGGTTATTTGGGAAAGTTTCTGAGGTTTTTTTGGGGAAAATACTAGATTAAGTGTTTTTGTTTCCAGCAAATTAAGTTGAATCAGTCATTGTTTCAGCTTGAATATATGGCAGTCAGTTTCAGTATTTTTCAGTCTAAATTACTGAAGTTGAGTCTATCTACATGTGATCAACATAGAAATAATGTTCACTTTAGCACAGAAGCTAGTATGAACATTTGTATTATCCTCCTCGGTGATGTCTTAAAACAATAGTTCTATAAAATGGGAGCAGAAGTAGTAACCTGCAGAGTTATGAGACTTGCTTAACTTTTCCTTGCTGGCCATTAAATAGGCTTGAATGGGGCCAGACAGTGGTAAAGGCTGTCTGCAATAGAGGCAGCTGTAGGCCTATGCATAAAATGAGTAGAATTTAAATACAGAATTTAAAAGAGCACAATTAATTTGGTTCTAAAATAATAACAGCAACAAAGTATTTTGCTAGCCCAAACCCAATTCTGAAATCTGAAGAGATTTTAAATTATGCAGTAATTGTGTATCATTTCAATTAGTACCAACTTTGGTACAGATAACACTTAATATATGCATAACTTGATTAAAGAAATAATAGACCTACCTGTGGGGTAAAATGATCTATAATTATACTGGTTGATTGTTACATAAATGTTTTTAATTTTGCCAGTGTGTGCTTATCAAATAAGGATAAAAAAAGGCCTTCTTCTTCTGAAGAAGAACCAAATCAAACCAAACCAAATAACCAATAAACCCACAAACCAACCAAAAGCTGTTAAAATAGCCCTCTTCATTACTTAAAAATTTATTTTAATGAGAAGCAAACTCTAATGGATGAGTTCAGACAACTGAAGAGATAGAAGGGACAAGCAGATGACCTGATGTCTGAGAAGGAAAAGCAGGTAATTTGTGCCAGGCAGCAAACCAACTTAAATAACAGTGAACAGAAAATCCTTGTGTTAAAGTCAAAGGTATTTTTCCTGATATCACTGAATAAAACAAATCGTTTGTATGGATTGAATCCTTATGTTTATCTGAGGGGAAATATCTGATACAGAAAATATTTCTCCATTTTGCTATGGATACAGAAGATGGAATTCAGCTTATCAGAAAAGGAAATTATTAATGTAAGTTTAAATTAATTTCTTTTAATCTACTCTTCAGACACATTAAGCTCAAATTTTAGTAAGACGTGAAGACTTCATTGTCAACTGTTCATTTGAAATCACTGTCAACTGAGCCTGGGATTCTTATAATAGGAAGGGGAGAGTGTTTGCTGACTGCAGCAGGCTCCTTGAAAATGAGGATGTCCAGCATCTTCCTGCATCTGTAACTAATAACATTATGTTTTTCATATATATCTTGGACTTCCAAGAAAGGGGCAGAGAAATTTGAAGGGCCTTCTGTGACATCTTGACCAAATTTTAGGAAGTTACATGCAAAAAAATATTTTCCAAATTGTCCTTTTTTTTTTTTTTTTTTTTTTTTTTTAAGTACTGGATGCACTTGATTGTAGTAGCTTGTCCAGCTTCAGGAAATAATGTGCTAAGAGAGAAACAGAAGCGCACAAAACCCTCTCGCTGTTTGTCCCAATGTTAGATCCTGGAATCCCAAGTACAAATGCAGATAAATGTGTGATGGTTAATAAAATGTGACTCCTTAATGATTGATCAGGACTAAAATACACGAGTGCTGAGAAAAAAAGACATTTAAGAGGGAACAATGCGGCGAGCACAAGGGAGAGGCGCTGAGTTTCATGAAGCCTTCGACAATATTTTCGTGTAATTCCCTTGCAGAGGCCTCAGCCGCTACTCGTAAGAGAGTGATTGATAGCAGCACTCTGCTGTCATCCTCCCAAACCCCACGTTTGGCAGAGAAGAGGAAGTGTTGCTGCAGGCTTTGTTGTCAGCAGGGAAGATGATCTGGGGAATGGCAGCGCTGCTCTGCCAGCAGCAGTGTCTCAGCGCCACGCAAACACCAGCCGACTCCCAGGCATGAGCCATGGATCCCCCCGCTGGCACAGCCCTGAATCCAAGCTCATACACCTTGCCTCCAGCTCAGCTTTTTGGCTGGGGCTCAGTGCAGGGACTGGCTCAAGTCCCTCTGAGCTGGAGCACAGGCAGGCTGCACTGAAAACTGCTTTTCGTGTAAGCCTCAGGAAGCTTTTGTAGCTGAGTCTTTTGTATAGTCTGAGTAACAGAGTGTTTCATTTCACACCTTTGAGAGGAATCTGTTCTATAGATCACACATCCTTCAGCTTGATCCTTGTGTCGTCTTGACTCTCCCTGAATTTAGAATTTGCCAAACCAAAAGAGCATGCAGGGATGCCACTTTTATCACATGGATAAAACCATGGGTTAACAAGTGTTTTAAAAAAAACCCTGCAAAATACAAAGACATGTAAAAAAGAATCTGCAGTCTGTGATTTAACTGTTTTAATATATTAGGTAAAAAATGAGAAGCTATTCAGTATTTGCTCCATTTCCCACTGCTCATTACTAAGCAAAAGATGAATCAGAATGTGTGGAAGATTTTCAATAAGCAAGCTACCTCTTATCCCAGAATACTGGCATCCCAAATTAGTGGTATGGCTTACAGGTAAGCTGTCAGTAAACCAAAATTTGAAATCTCATGTTGATGTTATTCTGCTTTCTTATATGTTTACCAAGCTAAATCAAAGTGCACAACAACAAACAGCTGTAAAGCAACCACTTTCTAAGAAGAGGAGAGAGATTCTGAAATTGCAATGGCTGTACCTGACACGGAGGAGAAATTTTTTTTTTAAATAGTGATGGCACAAGAAGAGATAACACAGTATCAAGCAATTTGGCATATAGTAGTTGGGATTTTGAAGGCACAGGACTCAATTTTAAAGGCATTCTATTTTTGGGAATAAGTTGTGTTCTTACAGAGGTTGAAGTCACCCTAAATGGGCATCCAATTCTCTGAAAACATTCTGCTCATTGTGATAGGTTGCTGGCAGTTCTTACTCCCTTTTTTTTTTTGTAGATAAAAGAAAATGAAACTTTATTCTGATGTTTGCTGATTCTATGACTGATTCTTAAGAGGCATCCTTTTTACTGTGAACTCCTTTTAAAGAAATCTTAGGGGGTTTTTTTCCATTTTTAGAAGGATCCATCTCAAGAGTTTAGCAGAAATTAGGTATTATTTTAAAAATCTAACCTTTCAGTGAAGTGTGATTCATATCTTTGCATCATGATCCGAAATGAATACCTGTTTAAGGACATTACAATAGAGTACCTATCTGTTTCTTTCTGCCATTTTTTAAAGAGTTGCTACATTTTTCTCTTGGTGATATAGATAATAGTCAGGAATGTTGCCAGGTTGGTTCAGTCACTCCCAGTCACATGGCAGGATGCACTGCCACTTCAGTCTGGAAAAGTAGGATTTAAGCCCCAGAAATGGGCATTTCATCCAGCAGTGCAGCAATAATTCAATGTGCTAGGCATTCCATCAGTAGCAATAGCACTTCAAAGAAGAATCTCCTTTAAGAAGTTGAATTAAATGCTCTTCAGCAATAGCTTTTGTACCAGATTCCCAGTGCACAAATACAGAAATGAATGTTTTCTTCACCAATAAAGAAATCTACTTCTGAGCTACATGTGAAAAATAAATTCTACCCTTGCTTTTAGAATGCCTTCTTACTTTTTAGATATAAAGGAAACACTCTAAGAAGACAGAAGAAACCACATCAATTCTGCTAAGTAAAACTAAATTGCATTGGATCTATCATGATTATTTTACCTGTATCAAAGATTGATTTTGACCTATTCAAATTTTAATTGTCATAATACAGATTCACCAAGTCAACTTTCTTAATATAGCATCGTTTTGCAGCATTTTCCAAACCTGGAATTTTATTGTACAGTTTATTGTACAGCAGAATTGGCACATCTCTGTATCAATGGACAGAGAGGTAGATTGGAAACTGACTGAAGGACAGAGTTCAAAGAGAATAGCCCAAGCCCAGCTGAAGGCTGGGGTGTATTTGGGATGCACTGGTATGCAAGAGGTAGAGTGGTGCCAGCAGGCCAAAGGCGTTGATCCTTCCCTCTGCTTAGCACAGGTGAGGTCATGAATGGAGTACAGAGTCCAGTTTTAGGCAAACATGAACATATTGGAGCAAGTCCAGCAATGGATGATGAAGATGATTGAGAGATTGTTATTTGAGGAAAAGCTGAGAAAGGTGGGATTGTCGTCTTGCTATAAATACTTGATGCTTGCCCTATCACTGGGGCAGCCCCTGGGCTTTGTGTTGTGCTGGGGAATAAGGCAATGCTGTCTGCAAAAATGGAAAACCTAAACAAAACTTCATCAAAGGATATGTGCATAGGTACAAAAAAGAGGAGCTCCAAAAGGATTCTAAAAACAGACCATAGGAACCAGAAGAATCAGGTGATAGAAACGGGTAATTTCTGAATCAGAAATTACACTCTTAAGTTTCTTCAGAAGGTAACTGGGGGAAGGACCTCCCTCTCCCACAGCCATGGGGCGAACTTACAGCTGTTTGTGAGTCTATTACAGGGTGCAGGCTGGAACAATGTGTGTTTCCTCTTCCTCAGGTTAATGTCTTTGCACAAAGTTTTCATCTGCATGAGTTAAACTGATTGCCTGGTGTTTGGCTTCTGATGCATATGGTAGCAATGTCCATGCCCTGCTTCTGAAGGAGAGCTATTGAATATGTTCTTGGGGAAGTGGAAAGCTTTAGGAGTATAAAACCACTGTTTTACACTCCATACACCACCAGTTGTTAAAGTTGAAAGTTGTCAAAGGTTAATGGCTAATTTGAACAAAAGCCTAGTGGCAACCTGACTTACAAACCAAGATATTTAGACCTTACATAAAGTGACAAGGATGCTCTTTGAAAGGAATGAGGTGATTGTGGCAGGGGTGGATGCACACTGTCAGGCAGACTTGCTGAACATGCAAGTTCTGCAAACACAACATGACATTAAGTACATCTTAACAGGGACTCAAGCTACAGACATTTAGCCCACACCTAGCTGCGCAAAGCAGGATTCAGTTTTATGTAAAGCACTTCAGATACTGTGAAGAGTCTCACCTGGCTTGGAGCTGCTGCTGCTCCAGAACAGTGCAGGGCTCACAGCAGGATTGAGCTGCACATCTCTGCTCTATTGAGGCATCCCAGACTGCCCAGGAACTCCCAGTGATATTCAATGTTTGTTTGTAGGTAACTGAGTGCTTTCTGTACTGAATATTTCAAGTGCTTAAATATCTACTAGTATTTTAGGAGTCCTAGGGTATCCTGCCTGTCCCAATGTGGCATTTCACAGAACTCCCACAGATCCTGATGCATGCCAGCTTATGTGGGTATCTTGGGCCTTTTGGGACATCTAAAATGGTTCTATGTATGTATATTTTGACATTTAATTGCCTGCCTTCATTCAGCCAGCTAAGTTTAGTCGTGTGCCATCTGGTGTTGAAAGATACCATGAGAGAACCAGCTCTGAGCTCTCATGGTTGCAGTTCATCTAAATCACTCCTAAAGATGTGTGTTTAGGTGGCATGAACCCATGCCTAGAAATGCTGGGTCTCTTTTGTATTTTAACATGAGAGATGAGCAGTTACACTGACAAATAGAGTATTTAATCTCACAAGATTTAGGAATGAATGCTGAGTTTTTTATGGCAGTATATGTATCTTTTAGAAAGTCCTGAAAGCTTAATGACAACATGTTCACACTGTAGTACCCACAAGCCCCAGGATACATGTCAGCAGTCTGCAATCACTTCATGTACAAATTCCAGTCTGATCCAATGTTCATTTTCAGTCTCTCTCTCTATCTCTCTCTCTATTTCTCTCTCTCTCTCTCTCTCTCTCTCTGTTTCATTGGATTGTGGTGCAGAGTTTTATGTGCCTTCCCACATTCTCATCCTCCATTTTTCATCTCACAGTATCCCTTTTCATCCCAGGCAAACTGGAAAAACATTTGAGAGAGTGGAACAGATACTCAATTGACAGGACAGTCAGAAATCTCTTGAGTAATGGGGGAAAAAAGTATTTATTTCACTTCTCAAAAATACTCTAAATGACCTCTGTGAGTTGTAAAAACACAGACTAATATTGTCACAGGCAGTCCTGTTACATATTTATCAAAGACAACTGCAGTGAGTAATCAGAACTTTATTATTATAATAGAGATGTTGGCATCAGAAAAGGATCTTTTAATGTCAGATTCTCTGAAATTTGGAGCGTAGTGACCAATGCTGGATAGCTGATACAAAGTTCAGTTCCACAGATCCCAGTTATGAGAAGTCAGGATGTTTGAAGGAAAACAGCTGTCAAAGAATCAGGCAGGTATTTTGAATTCATATCAATAATAACAAAGTAATTTTCTGCTCATGATTCTATCACAAAGCATGTTTCATACAACCTTAAGCACACTCAAAAATACCATACAAGGTTTGTATCTTCATTCTTACACTCTGTTAGTTACAGCTGGAGAAAAAACAAAAAACATTTTATGGTAGGAAAAGAAAAAAGAAACTACTTTATCATCAGACCATTAAGATCATTTGGAAAATAGTTTCAGAACCATTAGGACAATCAAGAAAATTTGCTGATAAAAATGTAAATTTAAGATTTCAAGTTCAGATTAAATCACTAAGGAGCAACTTGTTCAGCCATATTTTTTTTGTTAGAATTGTCTTCTGCTGCAGGCCTGGCATGACATCCAGTTACAAGTAGTATGACATACATGATGGCAAAATAAATACATGCTTAGATTGTATTCCACATAATTCATGCATCCTTACAGCCTGTAAAAAAACCTAGGAATGTCTCCTAAACCAGTATCAAAATTCTATTTTGCAGAACTGTCATCTCTTTATATACTCTTATGGATCAGATACATGTGTAAAGGAAAATATTGTCCTATGGTGGACACATATATGTGATAAAATTAATCTAATGCTTCTTATTTCCATTATGTCTTCAGACCCAGCCCAGTCTTTTGCTACACATTATTTTTTTACCAAGGTTTACCAAAAGGTGAGAGATTTTGGAAGAGATTCCAGGAGCAGTTTCATCTTGACACAAGACATTTTTTACAATATAATTAATCACTGGAACAGTCTCCTGAGGAATGTGGTTGATTCCCGTCAGAGTTTGCCTTCATGAGCTTATGGGATACTTTAGGCACATTTCTTCTCACTCTAGCACCAGTGGAAAATGAAGTTAAAAGTTTTACTTATTGTTAAGAGGTAAGGTCTAGTGTGTTCTCTAATAATGTATTTGTGTTTAATTTAGCTCAGTGTTATTTTTTATAGTGTTTCTAGTATCTTTCTAGTATTGTTCTAGTACCCATTTTGACCCATGGAGCCAGAAGCCTCCTACTGTATGAAACTGCAGACTAAACTGCAATCCCTGTCTGTAAAATACACAATGCAAGTAGCATCTTCTCACTGTTGCTCACTGTAGTAACGCTGACATTTCACACTTCGTGTTCTAAATTGCAACATTGCCCTAGACATTACGTATACAAAGAATAAGAGATGAAAATCAAAATAACTTACTAAAGGTTAAAGAAAGTACTCTGAAAGAAGATTGAGCATATTCTATTTTACTTTTCAGTATTTCTTTAAAAAATCAGAACCCACAATATTCTGAGATTTGAGCACTTAGCATAGCACATTTGGCAAAGAACTCGATGACATCTGAATGGAAGGAAATCAATTGTAATGTCTTGTGTGAACACACAGGTTTTGAACCTTGTACAAGACATATCCTCGGCTTTTCCACCCATGGCATATTCCTACATTCCTACAAAGATTTAACCTGCTGCTGGAGATCTAACTTTGTATCACAACTGGAATGCTGTGCCTCACTGCAGCCTGCCATCTTTTCTCTGAAGTGCATATATACACGTGCCATAGTCCCTCCTGCTAAACAATCATTTGGCCTTAAGGACAGACAAATTCCACTGGTATTTCACAGTCTTTAGATGGTTTGCACTTCTGTGAATTATTCAGTATTTTTTTCCCGTTATTTTCCATGGAAAATCAGTAAGAGTTTAGGATACTCATTATCATGCAGAATCCTACCTTAATCTCCATCTGCAAAATGCATGTAGTTAGTCCCTCCAAGAAGAGAGACATCTACTGAAGTCTGGCACGAGATTGGATGTTGTCACTTTTGTGTTAGAGGACAAGAACCAGTCAGTGCAATGACATAAACATGATACATTTATTTGAAGCCTATTGCTGTTTTATTGTGAAATTCGTGTAATCTGAAGTGTGTGATAATACATAATTGTTTCAAAAAAAAAATAATCTGGCTTTTGTTTTTTTCTGTCTGACCTCTTAAAAACCAAACAAAACCCAACTGTTTTTAATTTCAGCATGATGGGAGAGACAATGACCTTTCTCAAGCAACAACTAAGCTCCTACAACTTGATTGAGCCCTTCCAAGACAGAAAACAAAATCTGAATTATTCCAGTCTTTTCAGATATAGAAGTTAAACAAAATCTCTTGCAAGGCAAACTTGATGAAGAATCTCAATAAATCAGAGATATATGTGGGACAATATGAAAATGCATCCTGTGGTACTGTTGGTAGAAAATTAATCTATTTTATGATTAAAAATTGCATTGCGTAATTTCAATGGGATATTAATTTTCCAATAAAATCCACCTTTAAAAGGCTGATCTCCTAGCTGCATGTTGCAGGAGGATATTGTAAATGGCTGGTTTCTTTTTTCTGTCAGACATGCCACGGGATGGGCATATTACTGTGGAACTCAAGACTTACGGGTCTGTTTTTCTATTTATAGCTCTCTTAAATGTAGAACTAATTTTGTTATTCACCATAACTTGTTAGGTAAAACACTGGTTGGATTTTCTTTACAGTAGAGGGCATTCTTAGTATCTGGTAAAATTTCCTGTTGTTCAGTAATTTGAATAGCATATGCTGCTGTAAGATTTGTAATTAGGCTTGTACATAAACAGTGTTGTTAATATTGTTTTAGCCCTGTGAGTAGATTGGGTGTTGAGTTTTCATCATGCTTCATAGGAACTGCTTAGGCTGCTCTTAGAAAGCCCTGCCTATATTTGCAAAAAAGTACATTTTCTAAGTATTCTGATAGTTTCACATGTTGAGAGAAATTTCTCAGCCATTCCATGCATTCATGGCTGGGCTTGGCTTTGTGGTTTTTTTCATGTAAAAGTTGCTAGCATTTCTGAGCTCAAATCTTGTCACAGTAAGATGTCTCTGCATTTGAAATTACATGAGTGTAGGAATTTATTTTTCTGACAACCTCTGTTCTGCTTTTGTCAGTGGTAAATTCCAGCTCAAGGAGATGTCAAATCAAATTTTTAATGAAGAGAGGTTTACCTAGGAAAAAATAATGATAATTAACACTTCACAGAAATTAAAATTCAAACCCACATATGTGTATGTATTAAAAGAAAACCTTATTAGATATCTACAAATTAAAGCTGCTTTGGCCTTAGTTTTCTATTTTATTTTTTTTTTGTAAAAACAAAGTTGAGAAATAAGTAATGTTGATGCTTTGCTGCAGAATTTTAAGGAAAAAACAAACTCTTATTTTCTAGCTATAAATGTTCTTTTTTCTTTGATCAAACCACATAATCATTTTCTTTTGGATAATTTTCTTGAATCAAAGTATCACCTATTTGTATAATTTCACAAACAAATGCCCAGTACTTCTTCCATCTGCCTTTACTGTCTTGCTTTGTTATTTTTAGTAGTACAGGCCTTGAGAAGCTATGTGTTCTCAGTGCGTCCTGAAGGCATTCAGCAGTATCATATATTCAAATTAGACACAGTGTCTGACTGATAAACACATGGATAATCAGCCATGGAGAGGCAGCCTTGCTAAAACAATATTCTGGACCCGTCCACAAGTGGACTGGTAAAAAAAATGTGGAAGTTATGTTGGCAGGAGCAAACCTAGAGTAAATCTGTGCCGCAGTGTGAACTGTGTATGGCCACACCACACAGCAATAGCAGGATACAGACCTGTGTGCTGGGAAAAAATGTAATTTTTACTTAAACTGCTAAATATACACGGTAGCATGGGCTCTGTCATTCTTTTACATGTACTCCCATGTTTCTGCCATAGGAGGTGGTAGAACTTGACGTCCACAGGTGCTCAGATAAGCCATGAACTCGTTCATTTCAGGCACCTGACCACTTCACTGTGCCGCTGACACACCAGCCACGCCTCTGCTCAGGTGGCGAGCCTGTGCCGCCGGTGCCTGGGGGCTCCTGGCTTCCCCTGGGGGGAAGTCCCGAGCGCCTCCCCTCAGCGGGGGAGCGCCGTGGCAGCCTGAGGTGCTGTGCGGGGGGGATGGCGAGGAGCAGCCTGAGGTGCTGTGCGGGGGGGATGGCGAGGAGCAGCCTGAGGTGCTGTGCGG